TCCAGCACCGGCCACCTCTGCCCCCGCCCCCATCGCTCCCAGTGTCCTCCTGCCCCTGCAGCCGGTGCCCCTGGCACCTTCACATGTCCCCGGTCTCTGCCTCTCCCTGGGTCGCCGGAACCCTGCCCCGCGCCTGCTTCGTGCAGTGTGGCCACAACCTGCTGACCGCTCTGCCTTGGCCTAGGCCACCGTGCCTGCGCCCATGCGCGGGATCCGTGCTGAGATCCGACCACTCCACCCTGTCCTTAATGTCTTCTGCGACCTCGGACAGTCCTGAATTCTTAACGTAAGACACTCCTCACGTGTTTGCATCTTTGGGCCTGAATGATGTTGCTCCCGGGACTTCACATGGAGCTGTGCTCCCGGGAGTCTGGGGCCTGTCGGTGCAGAGCTATGCTCTCAGACTCCGGGTTGTAAGCAGTTACTGAAACGTCCAGCTTAGGAGCTGAGAGCAGCGTGTCACACGGGAAGAGCAGAGGGCGGGCAGTGGTGCTGTGAGTGCAGTAGGACATGTATTTTCTGTACATACTCGTTTGCGTACCGGGTCGCAGTGTGAAGTGGGAGCCTTCATGTGCGTCTCACTCAAGAGAGGTGAAAGGTCAGGTGCTAGATCGGGTCTCAGATTTTCTGCTGCCGAGGACGCTGTGGTGGCCATGGAGTTGTGCGACTTGCCGAGTCACATGAAGCCGGGCGATCACCAGACCTCTTGGCTCCTGACCCCGTGGTTTTGCCGCTGCCTTGGGGGCCGAGGCGGTCCTAGGGGACTCACACTTTGTCTCGACCTCCTGGCCGGGGGCATGTTGCCTGGTTTCTGCGTGAGTGTGACCGTGGGCATTCTCCTGTGCCTGCAGGAAGGAAGGGAGGCGAGCTGGCCTCAGCCGTCCACGCCTACACGAAGACGGGGGACCCCTCCATGCGATCCCTGGTGCAGCACATCCTCAGCCTGGTGTCACGGCCTGTCCTGAGCTTCCTTTACCGCTGGATATACGACGGGGAGCTGGAGGACACTCACCACGAGGTGAGGGAGCCGCCGTGCCCTCGGACGCCGGCTTCAGAAGCGGGGCGCTCGGCGCTCTTCCGTGGTGGGTTTCTGTCTTGGCCGTTTTCCCTAACAGCGCCGCCCCGCACTTGGCTTGCGTGCCACACGTGCGTCGTCCTGTGCTTTGAGAGCCAGCTACCCCATCGGCAGAGCCGTGCGGGGTTAGTGGAAAGCTGTTATCCCCCTGAGCAGGGGGCAGCTCAGCAAGGGCTGGTCGCTTGTCCTGTTTGCTGCCGGGGCTCGGTCTGCTTTCCGGCCGTGTGGTGGCTCGCGTTCTGTTGCTTTGCAGGGTGCCTGGACAAGCTGGACTCATCTGGATTAACTGAGGTGCTGACAGCTTTTTTTTTTAATTCTCATGTAATTTTATTTATTTATATATTTTTGGTGGGGACGAGGTAATTAAGCTTGTTTATTTGTTGTCAGTGGCGGCACTGGGGATTGAACCCAGGACCTTGTGCAGGTCTCCCACCGAGCTACACCCTTGCCCCGGTGCTGGCAGTTTTTGTGAGACAACACTGTGGATATGTATCTGTTGAAATACTGTCAGTTCTCTGTAAGTCTGCGTGTTTGTTCCAAAAAATCACGGCTGTGCAAAGTCACAGCTGTGTAAAACCGCGCGGTAAAAACCACGGGACTCTGACGGAGTGGAGCACGGGGCACCTCCCTCAGAAGCCTCGCCTGTGACGTGACACTGAAGAGGCTGGGAAGGAAGTGGAGGTCGGAGGCCAGTTTTAACCTGTCCTAAATGGTTTGGAAGCCCGCAGTCGGTGTGAGGACGGCCCTGCCCCGCATGGGGCCCTGGCGCTGGCCCCGGGGCACGCGGCGCTGGTCACCGTGAGCCTGCCCGGCCCTTCTGGGCTGTGGCTGTTTTATTTCTTCTCCAAGCTGCTGTGTCTTCTCCCTTTTCCCCGTGGGTTCGTCTGCTTTTTAGCATCGAACCGCGGGATGGTTTTACACATCTGGATGTCTTGTACCTGTAATTGCAGCTTCTTGCTCTAATTATTTTTCTTTAACTGCTAATTTTCATGTGGTTTCAGACTTGGAGGAGAGGTGTCAGAACAGTGGAGCCTGCCTCCACACCGCTGCCCAGGCGGGGGTTCCGCCGCGCTCTGTCTCTGCGGAACCCTGCGCGCACCGCAGTCTGTGTCAGGACTTCGCCCTTTTCCGATGTGGTGTTTGCTGGCTGTTAGTAACGCTTGCGTAACCGCAGCGTTGAAGTTCGGTGTCTGGCGGGGGCGGTTCTTTCACAGCTTTCCTTGTTGTCGCACACTTCTACTTAGGTGTGAGCTTAGGACCAGCTTGTCAATTGTGCCAAAAGCTTTTTTAGTGTTTGTATAGATCACACATTGAGAAATGTTTTTATGCATCCTGTGTTCCTTTTGCTAAGTTAGCTGTCTTTTTTAAAAAATACGAGTTGGAAGCTTTGAAAGGCATTGTGTCTCTTTTTACTAGTGGTCGCCTTAAAGCTTTTTAGAACTTTTTTAAGCCTGTATTTTCTAAATGTTAAAGTGAAGAGAAAACTAGTTTCTTTATTGGCTCCCGCCGTTAAGATGAGGAATTTTGTACCCCTCTCCCCATGTTCTGCCTTCTATACGTTTAGTCCTTACAGCTTTTGTTAAGATCTGTGTTACTTAGTTATTTTTAATTTTTTACATGCAATTTGCAGCATGGAAAAGTACACACGTTAAGTGTGACGTGTGGTGCCTCCGTCCAGGGCAGCACAGCACCGCGTCAGCTCCCACGCTGTGTCCACCCCCCAGTAGGCACTGCCCGCTTTCTTGTCGTTCCCTTGGTTGCTTTGGCTTGTTTTAGCTTTTACATGAATGGAGGCGGGGATGTTGTACACACTGTGGCACGTTTACGCGCCGTCCGTAGGGGAGCTGCTTTGTGTTTGTGGTAGTTAAGTGTGGCCGTTTAGTTTCAGATACTATTTCTGGAAAGTGCCACAAAGTTCCTTTTTTAATTAGCCCTGTAAGTTGGACTCTTCCTGATTGTGAGGAGTGCCTGGTCTTTGCTGGCGGCCCTTCATAGCTCACTGTCTGTGTAAGTGACTTCATCCTGTGGTTCTGCCCGGAAGCTCTTTCCAGCGCCCATGTTAACCTGCCTCGTGCGGGGTCGGGGGGGTTCTCTCCACCTCCGACTGCTCATGCTCAGTGTCCCACCTTGGCCGCCTCTGGGTTGGCTGGTTTGTAGCCCGAGGGTGAGTTTTCACTTCTTTTATCTGAAAGAAAAGCTTCTGGGTGGCCTCTGAGCTTGGCTGTTTCTGTGGCATCTTTGGAACTGCCTCTGGGCCCACCAGCTGGGACTGTACTTGAATTGTTAGAAATGTATGATCCGTTAGCCCCGTGGTGACTGGCATCCAGCTTCTGTTTCGTTTACCTTGTATTAGGATGAAATGCAAATGCAGGCAAGAGTGGAGCCCTGTGAAAATTCATAGCTAGCCTCTGATAGACATTTTTCCAGTGAAGACACACAGACGTCCAGTAGACACGTGAAAGGATGCTCCACGTCACTTATCACCAGGGACATGCAGGTCACGGTCACAGTGAGACATCATCTCACGCCTGTCAGAATGGCCGTCATCGGAAGACAAGGCATAATGAATGAAGGCAAGGATGTGAGAAAAGGGAGCCCTTGTACACTGTGGGTGGGAATGTAGACTGGTGCAGCCACTGACGAAAACAGTATGGTGGTTTCTTAAAAAATTAAAAATAGAACTACCATGTGACCTAGCAATTTCACTCTTGGGTAGATACCTGAAAAAAAACCCAAACGGTAATTTGAAAAGATACACGCACCGCAGCGTTCATAGCAGCATTATTTACAATTGCCAAGATACGAAAGCAACCTCAGTGTCCAGCGACAGATGAGTGGGTAAAGAAGACGTGGTGTGTACACAATGGAATGCTACTCAGCGTAAAAAGCATGAAAACCTGCCGTTTGGAACAACATGGGTGGACTTGGAGGTGTTGTGCTGATAAAACAAGTCAGACAGAAGGACAAGCACTGTGTGATAACACTGCACGTCGAACCTGAAAAACCCAACCAACGAGTGAGTGTGACAAGAAAGCAGACTCAGAACAGATGAGCGGTTACAGGTGGAGAGAGGAAGTGGGGGCAGGATCGCTGTGGGGGGTTAAGAGGCGCAGACTTATGTGTAAAACAGATAAACCACAGGGCTGTGCTGTACAGCACAGCGACAACAGCCAGTATTGTATGATGAGTGTAAGTGGAACACAGCCTTTGAACGTGGTGAGTCACCGCGTCGTGCGCCTGAAAGTTACGGAAAGCTGTACGTCAGCTGTACCTCAGTCAGAAAGACAAAGGAATGCATAGGTGTCCTGAGTGATTAGCGCAGAAGGCGGTTTCAGCGTATGGGGAGAAGTTGCTAATTTTTGGTTCTTACAAAGTACTGCTGTAAAAAATCAAAGGTTTTCGTTTTGTTACTGTTATTTTGACAAACTACCGTGAGGCATTCAGTGGTTCTCGTGGGCTCCTCCCCTGCAGACCCAGCGAGGTAAGCAGGTTTTGCAGTCTGTTCAAGGCAACAACACAGTAGCTCAATGTTAATTTTTTTTTTTGCCTTTGGACTGGGATTCTCAGCCAGGATCAGGAGGGGGGACAAGGTAAAGGGCAGCACTCTCGCTTTCAAGATTCGGAAATTGTCACCTGCTCCAAACGCTTGCTTAAACGCTCTATGACACCCCCGAAATCTGTGTCCGCGGCCTGGAGGGTCAGGGAGCCAGCGCGGGAGACGCCGGCGCCGCCGTGTGGGCTCTCTCCGCGGGTCCGTTCAGCAGTCTTGCTGTTCTGTTCCTTTTGTACTTTTGCTGGAATTGCTGGGTGTCAGAGTTCACTGTACATGCTTCTTCACTCTGGCTCCCCCGAAACCTGTGCCCTGCAGGCTGCCTGGTCGGCTCCCTCCCACCCTTGCCCAGTCTAGAGCCTCCGACTCCGCGAGGGGTGGCCCGCCTGATGACCGGTTGAAGCTGGGGTCCTTTGTGGCCTGAATTAGTGGATCTAGTTCTTAGAACTAAGTCGCGTGCTTCCTTTCTGTTTTGAGTGGGGCGGCTGTGGCATCTGTCCAGCACTTAATGAGAAGTCACGGTGCAATTATGCCTTATTTTCTTCCCCTCACTTCTCTCTGTGTTTGACATATGGTGAAAATCAAAGAGCCCTGAGTGGAAAATGCATCAGTAAAATAAAAGCATGTCGCACCTGTGTTCTGGCCTTGACTCTTTCCCTCTGTAACTGTGGTTTTCGCACGATTAATTGCGTTCCGGAGTGTGCCCGTGCCTCCTGGCGTTTCTGCTGGGTGTTTGCTTAGAGGGCGGTTGTATGCGCTTTGTCCTCGGATGAAGTGATGCTTTCATAACTTCCAAAGATGATTGAACACCTGAGTTTCTCGTTTTTGAAATTAAATTTTCTTATTGTTCGTACTGATAAAAATCTGAGTGCCCTCAGCTCTCGGGATAAATTAGTGTGTTGTGTGTAGGAACTAGCTCTTCTGTTTAAGTGCATAACACACACATGCAGTTTATACGCAGTTAATCTGCTCCGTAGAACAGCAAGCTAGAGAGCAGGTGTACTGTGGCGATGGTGCTCCCCTTTATCAGACCGCTCAGTGTGGGGTTGTGATGCTTTGCTTTGTGTCCAGGCTAACTTAGGTGCATGTTAGAGCGGCGCTGGCCTCATTGTAACAGTACTGCTTCCTCCTCAAAGCGGTCAGTGGTTACGTGTTTAAAATTGGAAGGGGAATGTAAATCCAGTAAGTCTGAAAAAGGAAGATCAATAAATACTTCCGTAATTTGAATTGGTGCCTAAAGGTGAGAATTTGAGTTGAAAATAAATGTGGCAATCTCATCTTCATGGTTGTAAAATTGTTGGCATTTATTCAAACACCTGCTTAAAGGAGACCGGCTGTGTGTAATTGACACCCTCTGGCCCTGACTTACAAGGATCAAACGGAAGACCTTGACGTTAGGAATTTTGTTCCCTTAAATAGTTACCCTTGGGAGTAGATTTCTGCGAACAGGAAAAAAATCTTTTTTAGTTGATTGCTTTGAAAAAATGATGTTTCTAAAAAAATTCTTACTGGTATCATATGTGCATTTCTTGGCTTGAATTACTCAGCTCTCTTGAGCAGTGTTTTTTTCTGATTTAAAGATATTTGTGCCATTAAACCATTTTGAACACAGAAACAGAGGAGAAGATTAGAAATGAAGGACTGCTGTGCTGAGCACGTGCCTCTGTCAGGACAGTCCCGCGTCCCCGTCTGCAGTGCGCGCGGTGTGCTTGTGTGTGTACGTGTGTGTGTGTCGCGTCGTGCAGTGCTCGCAGCCTCTACTTGAAGTAAATAATGAGAATAATTCCACGCCGCCACACACTGTTCTTCTGTAGCGAGGCTTTTCACAGTGTGGTCTCTGAACCTCTTGATAGGAAACTCTGTGCTTCGTGGACACGGGCCCTTCCCCAGGAAGGGGTCTGTGCTCTTCACAGGCTCTCAGGATCGTTCCACCCGGCATGATGATAGTCTGCAATTCACTGTGCGTTTCCTCGTTTCTAGACATCCAGTATGTGTCAGAAATGAAGTGTGCCCGGACCAGGAATACTCCGCTCCGGTAACGGAGGGGTAACGTTTCCTTCACTGTCTTCATCTACACTCACGAACGGAGCTGGCCTGTGTTTTCCACTGTGGGCGTTGTTTTTGTTAGCGTTTGCCCGTGTTGTACTAGACTCATAAAGTAAGCTGGTATCCTGCGCGTTTTTCTGTGGTCTGGAGTACGGTAAGAACGGTGTCTTTTTTAAAGCCCAGTAGCCCTGTGTCTTGGTGGCAGCGTTTTGCTTTTCTGGTTTCTTTTGCAGATTCGCTCTTTTTAGAGTCTCCTCCCTCCCACACTCCCTCCCTCCCTGTCTCTCCCCACCCCTCATTCCTTGGATTTATTTTGGTTATTTGTTTTTTGCTAGGAAACCATTAATTCTGTGTTTCTATATAATTGCTAAAAATATATTTTTTTAATTCTTTAAGTCCGTTTTGCATCTGCGGACACAGCTTTGTAGCCAGGGCTGTGTGTTGCTCACCTGCTGGTGACTGGGATCTATGCACAGAGCAGCAGAAAGGCCTTTAGGTGTGTTAGGACTTGAGTGACGTCACGGTCTAGCTCAGCCCCCCCGGGCCTCAGACCCAAGTGCTGCCAAGTGCTCGGGCTGTGGTCCCAGTGCCAGTTCTCCCTCAAGGGAACTGGTGCTCCTTTGGGAAGTGGACACGGTGAGCCTGGGCCTGGGTCAGATGGAGCAGGGAGGGCCAGAGCTGGGTCTGAAGGCCTCGGGAGCCTGCCTGAGGACCCTGCTGTCCAGGGTGGGAAACATGCAGCACCAGCAGGGGTGGCCTCTGCGGGGCTGTCGCCCAGATACACTGCATTCCTTATTCACAAGGACACAGCAGGAGTCGGCCTGGCCGCCGTGGATGGTGTAAACATCCTGTCAGACGCTACTCAGCATCTCTCCGTCGTCAGCTCTTCCCCGTCACCTGCCGAGACAGTGAGTTGTAATGATGGTTCCTGATGAGGCACCGTAGCTCCGAGTGGGGTCGGAGTATTAAGTACAAAGTGTTGGCCTGGCCGACAGAGGAGTCGCAGCCTCCTGTGTCTGGGCAGATTGCAGAGGGACAGAGGGGCCGTACCACCAGCACCACAGCAGGAGTGCAGCTGTCGCTGGGGCCCGGGTTCCAGGACCTCGCAGGGACCAGCGTTTGCCACCAGTGGGTTCACCAGCCGTGGACACGGAGGGCCCGGTGTGCTAAATGTAACCTAGGGCTGGGGAGCTCTTAGGAGAACAGGAGACTCAGAAGCCATAAGGAAGACACCAGCGTGACACACACAGCACAACAAAACAGGGAGCACACCACGGACAGCGCAGGTGGTCACCCTGCGGACGGTTGTCACACCTGCTGACTCACAAGTGGTCACTGCCCTAGGGAAC